CGATAGTTTTCCACAATCCACCAATTGTACGGGGCAGCAGTCGCAATCCCCGAATTTTCAATAGGATTATACCACTCTTCGGCACCCTTAGTTAAACGCCGAGGCCCATGCCTACAGCCACTTGCAGAAGTAGTGGGCTCCTCCCATTCTCTGTACGACACAGAGGCCAAGGGTACAGCCGAGATAGAAGAATCCCCAGTTGGTTCTCTCTCCTCTATTCTAGGAATCGAAGTTCTATGGCTTAGGAGAGGCATGCGTATTGTAGCTTCTCCCTCTTCAGTTGCTACAGGTCTCTTGACCAGGTCTTGATCTCAAACCATTTTCTCGTGAAAATATCGATCCGGGATAAAAATTTCAGAAAACTAAAGAAATTCAAAGAAAATTTGGAAAAAGTTACCTTTGTGTAGCTCGTAATCGGCCGATCGTGAATTTCGGAGGCTTAGGTTCTCGGTCAATTCGCGGATTCACAGGAATTTGGAACGGAGATTCAGAGTTGGGAAGAGTATTCGCGAATTCAAGGGTTTGTGTTTGCAAAGATGTAATTACTGAATGGCAAGAAAGAATCTTAAACACGAGCTTCTGAAATTAGAAAGTTTAAGAGTTGATAAACCGCGAAAAATCCCACTAAACTCTTCCTAAACACGTTCCCCCAAAAATAACTACCCACTAAACCTCTCAACTCCCCAATTACCCTCCTTAATTACGGCTCCAACTGTTAAAACTATCTAAATTCCACCAAATTCAAATTCCAATCATTTGTTCCTTTCCTTTGCCAAATCAAAACCCAACCTCTACTATATCCGAATTGGGCCTGAGGAGCAAGTTGTTTGGATCGTTCAACTCTCCAAGCACATGCCAAGATCCAGTCCAGCCCATTTAAAATGGTCAACCCACCTTAACCTCATGGGTCCAATCATCCACCTTTGAGAAAAGGTGAAAAAGCCATAACTTGGCCAAATTTACATTTATTCACACATAGCCTCAAATAATTGTGTCAACATGGTTAAACACAACATTGGGATTAAAGGTCTTAAGTTTTGATTACTTTTAAATAGGCCCAATTAGGACACTACATGTAAATCATAAGGAAGCTGTTCACCATTAGGACATTGTGTGTATAGACAAATTTAAGTAAAACTAGATTTGCCAAGGCAAAAACTTGTCCTTATATATAGACACGCCACTGGGATAAAGATCTTCAGTTTTAATTAACTTTTATTAGACCTAGAAAGAGTTTCGAAGTTGTCTGGTAAATTTTTTGCGAGCAATGACAAATCTCATATATAACAACGTTCAACCTCATATATGAGGATGGTTACATTGTTTAAATCCGAGAAAAAGGAGTCGAAGGAAAAGTGCTTGTCAGAGTACAAGAAACATAAATTGAAACATAATTAAGGAGGGTAATTAGATTTTTTGGCACAAGATTCAATTCATAAAATAGTTCACTATTGGGATATTATGTGGAAAGATAAATTCAAACTAAACCATATTTGCCGTAGGAAAATTATGCCCCTATGTCTAAACACGGCATGAGGATCAAAGGTATTACGTTTTAATTACTTTTAAATATGCTTAGTTAGTAGTATTAAGTAGCTACCACCCCATTGTAGCTGAATTTCTTTTAAATGTAAAACCTATTTAGGCTTAACCAAATCCGTCAAAGAAGAAATGTGTCTTTCTGGATAGACACAACATCGATATAATAATTCTTAGATTTCAATTTGCTCTACCATCACTGGACACAACATTATTTGGATCAAGGGTCCTAGACTCCAAAAAGATTTTAGCACACCTTTAAAGTAATAATTTGTTGTTTGCCAAAAATTTCACCTACAATGGCATATTTCATTTATAAAAGTGGTCAATATCATTTACGAGGATGATTGCTTTATTAATTTTTAAAGCATTTTAAAATTACACTCATTTTTTTTTAATAATACTGGAAAATAAATTGGTATTTATAATTACTGCAACGTACATAAATATAAATGTACATAATACTTATTAAATTAAAACTCTATGATACTATATCCTGTAACAACTACATTTGAAAACCCGTAATTCTAATTTCGTAAAAGCTTTAATCATTTCAACTTTAATTATACAATTCTTTTTTAAGGAAATTCGAATGATACAATTTAATGTGTACAATAGAAATTATAGAGGATTTCAAAAGGTTTGCTTTCAAAATCGAAGATGATGATGTTGGAAAATATATACCACTTTGTTGTGATGATCAATAACATATGAAACACATTATTTATCTAAGATATTACAACAAATAACACTGTACCAATAACATTAAACAACAAGATAAATATTTAATGCTAGATTATCTGCGAATACTTCAAAATATCATAAGATACTACATTTCTAAATGAGTTTACGTGATACCCTTCAGGTGGTTTGGTGGTATATACCACAACATTTTCAGCCTTTTTAGCCCGAGATAGAGCCACATACAACTGACCATGTGAGAAACATGGCCGAGGAAGGTATATTGACACTCGGTTCAATGTCTGCCCTTGTGATTTATTAATTGTCATGGCAAAACATAATTTAATAGGAAATTGTTTCCTTTCAAAAGTGATAGGATACCTGTTATTGACAAGCGCACATTAGGGCGTGCTTTAAGGCATATAAATGGGTGATTTTGGATGTATTTAGGCCCGTTTTGGTCGTTTATTGCCTTGTTACACTCGTTTCCTTCATATTACGTGCTTCACGGGTTTCGGTCTGTTTTTGGTGTGTTAACAGGTATAGTTGACCAAGTTATGTCGAGTCCCGAACCATTGGTGCGTAATCAGGCTATTATCGATCCTAGTCCACCAAGCTAAGGCTTTGCTGCGGTTCTCAAGGCCTTGAAAGGCAAGTTAAGTAGCAGGCAAGGCAGAACAGTTCACAAATATGACACCCTGTTCACTATTTTGCTCACAACTTTCGGGATACAAATGATAATGGAGTGATTCCAATTGCATTGGAAAGTAGACTTGAAGAGCTTTCCAACGATATATTGCACGCCTCAAACGAAGCTCTGGATAAGAAGTTGTGACTGTTTTAAGAAGACCAAAGTGCCTGCAACCTTCCTGCCTATGCTGCACGGCCGTGCCACTTTTAGCACGGCCGTGCCAAGCCAATTTCCATGCCCGTGCCAGTGCCAGATTCAGCACGGCCGTGCCAGATTCAGCACGACCGTGCCAGGCATTAGCACGGCCGTGCCAGGCATTAGCACGGCCGTGCCAAATTCAGCACGGCCGTGCCAAATTCAGCACGGCCGTGCCATAATTGAAGATATTGCGGATCAGCTACTGCCATGCTTGCACGGCCGTGCCACTTACAGCACGGCCGTGCCGATTCACGAAGGGCAGCCTGCGATTTACTTTCCGATTTAAAACATATATATGTAGCCCGATTGTAAGGGTTAACAGACAGTTTTAGAGATAGTTTTGAGAGCCTTTGTAGAGAGTTATTGGAGAACGTTCTTAGTATTAGAGATTCATTAGTTTTCTTAGAGATATTTCTAGAGATTTTAGTTTTCTTGGATTGATTTGAAGCAAGATTTGCGAAGATTCTTTGTATTATTCATTGACGACGGATATCAAAGTTCTGAACTTTTCCATTGATTCGCATCAATACAATTGGTATTATTCATTCTTGTTTATTAATCAAGCTTTATTATTCCTTAATCAGAATTCATGTTTATATCTATTATGCTTTTGGAATTCATTATTTCTTTGATTATGAATATGTGTGAGTAGTCTCCTAGCTAGGGTTTCGGGATGAAACCCGGCCTAGGTAATCTATGTAATTGAGGATTGATTTTGATAAACGGATTGTGATTAAATTGATTATATGCGATTGCATGTTAATTCATTATAATAGGAGTAGCTAACCTAGAATCTTGAATTTGATTGCATGATATTCTTGATTTGAACAAGAGATTGTGAATTGAGTATTTCATTATTGAATGTGGTTTGATTATGTATCGAGTAATGTTAAGTGCATGAGAAATCCAAGCTTAGTATTGCCCGTTGTCTTCCTATCACATGATATTGATCAGACTTATAGTCTTTTCATATCCCGTTTGTCTCTGTGATTCCTTGTTGCTTAGTTACCAATGGTTAGGCGGATTCCCGTTCTCCCTAGTGTCTTAGTTTATTGATTTATTCCATCTTATTAGTATTATTTTAGAACACCATTTTCCATTGATTTCGAACTAGCTTAGGTTTAAGATTGATTTGCAATTACTCTCGTTCCTCGTGGACCGAACCTTTATTTGCCATTGTACTTGGTTATAGGGTGTTCGTATAAGTATTGTTTGATTGAGAGTTAGATTGTAGCGACCGATTTAACCCTTGTCAGTTATTTGCCGGAGGACGTAAATTTGCTTGATGCACAAAAACAGTTGTACCCTTGTATTGTCCAACAGAAATTTCACAGACAATAATGTTTGGCAGAAAACTCTTACAAATCAATCTCGTGCCATTACACAGTCCATCAAAACGCATTATGTTGCGTAACAAAATCACTGGACAATCCTTCTTAAGAACAAGCTCATGGGGACTCATTCCTCCTGGACAAAGTTTGTTTATGAACTCTATCGGTTAAATGCTGCATGTATCATTGAGCATTACATCAAAACTTTTATAAATCACTGTTTCTCCTGCAAACTGGTCAATTAAAACTGAGTTAACCAAATCCACGTCGTCATTCATCGTAGTTAATATTGCCCTATATGCAAAGATATCTGATGTTATTGTTCCTTTCTCAACTTCTGGAAATGTTGCATTTACAGTCTCCAAATTGGGATCTTTTTCCATGTCCAGATGCTGAATCATTCCATCAGGCAGTCGTACATAATCACACTCATTTGTTTGTAATTCACCGTTGCCAAGAGATAACAGAAATGAACAGAATGCAGGATCTTCACGAGCTCGTTAATTTTCTGTTAATCTAAACCTCTTCAGACATGTCCAGATGTATGAAGTCACTATGCTTCACTCAACAGCCTGTTTTAAGGACTTCTGAGGTACAACTGGTAGAACTTGTCTAAAATCTCCGCCAAGAATAACAAGTTTACCACCGAAAAGTGTTGTACTGTCACATATATCCTGTAGCAGCAAATCAAGGGATTGTAAATTTGCCTTGTTGGCCATAGAAGCTTCATCCCATATAATTAAAGTTATCTCTTTTATTAACTGTGCTAAACTACCTTGTTTTGGCACATCACATGTAAGAGAGTTCTCATGATCAATTGGTATTTTGAATCTTGAATGAGCTGTCCTCCTTGAAGGAAGATTTGATGCTACTATTCCAGATGTTGCAGTTGGCAATACAATCTTATTCATCATTCGAATTTCTGCATATAAACAATTGTATAAAAATGTCTTCCCTGTGCCACCTGGTCCATCAATGAAAAAAGCCCCTCCTTTTTTTTCATGAATATGTTTCATTATACAATCAAATGCTTTGAATTGAGCTGCATTCAAACGTTCTTTCTTATTTATGAATTCTTGAGGAATAGCTGTATTTAAAACATCTGCTATATCTCTTGTTTTTCTGTAATCATCACCAACATTGTAGCTTAGATGATCTAGCCCAAAAGTTTTTAGTGATTTACCCATTGATTCAAGGTGCTGTTCCAATAAACTAACAGTCAGCTGCTTGATTTTTTCTATACAATCCTTAAATTTATACCTGAAATCTTCTGACAATGCTGTGTAATATTTTTCCCATAAAGCAGATGGATCACTTGGCTGACAAAAAATCAGTACTGTTGCAAATAGTCGCCTCAAAGCATCTGGTAACTGAACTTCTACAGCTTCAGCTAAACATATAGATGCAGCATCATCATCTTCTAAAAGACCAAGTCATTTTGCAGTTTCTTTAAATGTAGCACAGACATAATTATCAACTGTACATAAGTCTGAAAAAGATTTTTGATATGACGTAGCAAAAGTCGTAGAAAATAACGTTCACCTTCAGCTGGTAAAACAAATGCTATTCTCCCAATAACAGTGACTTTATTTTTTCTCTCAACCGACTCCTTTGTATTTGCATCCCATCTATAGTGCTCTGGAAATTCACCATATAAAAGGTTGGTGCCACCATCAATTGTCGCAATCATTGTAAAGTATTCTGTCAACGGTGTTCGTGAACGCTTTGGATCTATCACTACCCGTCTGAGATTTTCACGTGGTCTTACAGCAATGGATTGTATATTCGGTAGGTGTATAGGCAACGGCATAACGGGAGGATATATTTCATACAAATGAAACCCAAATATTCGCCATATTCCTTCGCATGGGGATACCCACCTGACAAATTGAAATTGTTCAACTCCAATGATATATTAAAAGTTTTACAAAACAAAACTACATAATGCAAATTAAATAATCAATACGTACCTGCCAGATTAAAATTGTTCAATTTCATCTACTTTATTATCATTCATGGCAGAAATCTTATATGAGATTCGATCATGCCCTTTGTAAACGTACTTGTACAAATATTTTACTGCTTTGATAGTCGAGCACACCTCAACATTCATATGACAGTCAAACATGAGTAGTAAATACGGATTATACGGTACTACCCACTGATTATCCAACTCATCTTGTCTAATTTTCACCTTTTCACCTGTTTGTCTTCTCCTATATATAGGATATCCATCTTTGTTGTTTGCTGATTCTAACATATAATCTTTTGGATACCCATTTTTACATACTAACTTTCTCCCATTCATTTTCATGCAAGGGCATTTTGGATTCATCTTGCCACACGGCCCATGCATCATATGAGCCAAGACAACTTTACGAAGATGAGGATTATCAAACGATGGGATTTCAGCAGAAACAAATTTGTCATACTCTGTTGGCCCTCTTATTTTGAAATTACATTTCAGTATTATCAAAAAGTGTGCATGTGGTAATCCTCTCTTTTGAAACTCAACAACGTAGATCACTGCTGCCACTTCACCAAAGACTTTGTCCTTCATTATCTTTTTTTTTAACGCTAATAATTTAGCACGGAAGATCCGAGTTATTATATCTGGTCTGTCTTGTGCTTTCTCTCCAGGTTGTAGTTCAGACTTTATTTCTAGCCAGTTTGCGTTGCATGTCATGGTAATAAAAAGATCCGGTTTGCCATACCTCTGAACTAATGCCATAGCATTTAAATATCGACGTTTAAGGTCTCTAGGACAACCGATGAACGATGGAGGCAAGACAACAAGATGCCCAATTTTAGAAGCATCTGTTTCTCCACTCACCACACTATCAAGAATACCTTGATAAAGTTCAGCTCTTATTATATCTTGATTGTTTCTTAGATAATCGAGCCTTGAATTTTCTATCTTCACATACATGTCAACAACAAACTGTTGAAAACATCTTCCAGATTTTAGGAGCATATTTTGCGGCCTAATCTGAAATTTGTAAGCATAGTATACTCTTGGAGAGATATATTTATCAGCTCTTGTTCTATGTTTAACAGCACCTACATTTTGCAAAAGAAAAAAGTAAACACTCAAAATGCACATCACAATAAATGTTTGAAAATTTAATATATGTGTATATACAACATAAACTTACGTGATGCTTCTTCATCCAAAAAATTTTGCACGGTATGAACTGCACAAGAATGTATAGGATCTGTAACCTGTTGTGTTTGTTTTTTTCCCAATAACAATTCGTTTCTTAAGATTTTGAGTCCATCCACATTCACCATGGGGGAATAACAGTGGATATATGTAGTGGATCATATCACCCATAGTAGTGATAAATTCGATGAGTTTGAGCAGACTTTCCATTCAGGAGAATATGTGGAGTGCTGATTTGATTTGAAGAAGCACCATTTGGCCGGACCACAGCAACTTCATCTGACAAAGGTGCATTGTAAACATGCTGATCCAAAACAGTACTTTGCCTTAAGACTATCTGCGTGTTTTCATCTATCTTTATTTCCCTCAACGATCTAAAAAATCTAGCTTAAGGATTTTTCTCAGTAATCTTCATTAGTATACGAATAATATCTTCCCGTACTTCTGGAAAACATTTAACTCGATTTTGAATTTCACGCGGGCCATCATAAAAATATAGCTGCAGGTATTTAGGACTATTATCATCGGGCAGTAGATCTGGAACTCAGTGATATATTTGCCCATGCATTTTGAATACATATATCCCTTTATATGTTGTTGACTCAATTTTGCCACGTATAGAACTAAAAGCAAACAAATTGTTATACATTCGGCTATATTGCTTGAAATGTTTAGCATCTTCTTCTTCTGATATATATAAGCGGCATAACTCATCGGGAAATTCATTAGCTGCAATCACAACTTGTCCATTGCAACAACAAAAGTGTGGAGATTCATACATGAATTTCTTTGCAGTACAATGTAAACAATACAGTGCATTCTTAAGCACAAGAGGCCCTTCTGGTAGAGCCTGCCAGATTGTAGCAGAAGTTATAACTATCAATACCAAAACAAACAAAAAAACAAAAATTAATACATGCATATAATAAGTATCACCTGTGTTCAAATGTTAAGTAAACTGGTTTTAATAATCATAGTCTAAAAGTATAATAAATACCTTATGTACAGGTTTTTTTAGCAACTGAAGTTCGTCCAAAAAACCACTGACGTTTGCTTTTACGTTGATGAAAAGTTTGTGAAGAACTTCCCACTTTATCTAATAATTCATAACAACTAATATTAATAACAAGATACTAAAATAATAAACGTATTGTATAATTTAAAACATGTAAGGCTTATGTTTACTTATTCGTTGATAACATTTATGTAAAGAAATCCCAATTTATCTAATAGCATATAAAAGTTAATATTAATAACAAAATACTAAAACAATAAATGTATTATATAATATTATTAAACATGAAATGCACATTAACACTTAATAATAAACGTCTTTTCATTAGTTTTTGTGTAAATATATTTAAGGAATTTCCGCCATTGGAGAATTCAACATCTTCTCCTTCACCATTTTTTTCAATTTTCCTCTATCTCTATCCTAAACAAATTTTTTCAAACTTCAAAACCACATCCTATGAAAGGTTACTACTGTATAATATAAGTCTACTAATTGTATAATGTAAGGTTTTTATATATTTTATTTCATCAATTTTGTGCACTTTATTTCAAGCATTTATGCAATTATTATTATGATTGACTTTAACCATATAATATTTTATGCACTTTATTTTAAACATTTATGCTACACTACTTATTCATCTAAGATTTTGATATCAATTCACACAAATAGATAAACTTTTAAGTTTGTATAAGATGCACAAAAATAATTGAAAACTGATGTAAATTATTGTAGTAGACATAATCACCTGTTTTACTCTTATATGTGCGAGCTTTGCGCACATGATGTTCAAGCTTCCTACGTTTACTGGAATTGTATACATATAAACAACAATATAATCTACAACAAAAAGCAGATAAACACAGAGACTTACAGTGCTTCACATTCTTGTATAGATGCCTGCGAAGAATTAACAAATGCTTGTTCCCAGTTTGTGCCCCCTTCTATTTCAATGTTCGCGATAAAGGTATTAGCCTATCTGTGAATTTGATCGGCATTATGCTTTGCCGAGTGTTGAGGAGGACAAAATGTCGGAGAAGGAATTTTCTGCTGAACATCTTCCCTTAGGTTCTGAGCAGGAGAAGTAACTGGCATCTGCTCCGTAACCACCTCGGTTGGACCCTCGTACTGCCGAGGCCTCTTAAGTGAAGGAGAGGACTCCTCCAAAGGAAATTGGCCTGGATAGATAACGGCTCGAGCCTTCCTTTTTTCGCCCTTTTTTTGTCCCCTTTGTCTGAAGAAGAAGGATCAAATGAAGATGCTTTTTGGTATGTATAAGATACAAATAAATAATTGAAGACTAACGAAAATTATAGTATCGGAATATAGTAAACATAATCACCTGTATTACTCCTACTATATGTGCAAGCTCTACGCAGATGATGTTCAAGCTTCCTACGTTTATTGGAATTATGTCTGTAAATAACAAAACATACATATAAATAACAAATAATCTACAACATAAGGCAGATAAACACAGAAACTTACGGTGCTTCACATTCTTATATAGATGCCTGCAAAGAATTAGCAGATTATAGTTCCCAGTTTTTGCCCCCTTCTACTTCAGTGTTCGTGATGAAGGAATTAGCCTGTCTCCGGATTGTTTCGGCAAGGCTATCTGTCGAGCGTCGAGGAGGAGAAGATGTTGGAGGATTTTTCTGCTGAATCTCTTCCTCTTCGTTCCGAGCAGGAGAAGGAACTGGAGTTTCATTCGTAGCTACCTCAGCTGGCCCCTCATCTTGCCGAGTTTGTCTAAGTGAAGGAGAAGACTCTTCCGAAGGAAATTGGCCTGGGTTGACGATGGCTCGACCCTTTCTTCTTTTAACCATTTTTTCGTCTTCTTCGTCTGAAAAGAAAAATCAGATGAAGATTTTGCAGCAGAAGAAAAAGGGAGGGGCAGAAGCATGTTATCAGCATGGTCCAAGCAAAAACGGGAAACACAAACACTAAAGAGGACATAGACGAAGCATAGAAAGGCTACCAAAGTTCTACAGTTGTTTAATTTCTCACAAATTGATCAGTCAGAAAACAACATGCATCCGAAATCATATACTTACAAGTTAAGCAAGTTACATTATAAATGCCGAAATTTGATACATAGAGAAATTTCAGACGAAACAAGACACCAGATAAACATGTGTTTGCCGAAACGCCTAGCAAATCCTTGTCTTCGGCTTCGAGGTTGGCCGAGTTTTCACAACAGTACGTCTTCGGCTCACAACGCAGCACATATAACATGCACACTCAAACAAGGATATAAATGCCGAAATATATCACTTAGAAAAATTTCAAACAAAACAAGGAAAGAGATAAACGTATTCTTGCTGAAGTTTTCAACAACTCCTCTTTCTCGGGACCAACTTCGTCTTCAGCTACGATGTTGGTCGCCGAGACTGCGGCTTTTACAACAGCACGTCTTCGGCCCTAACAACAGAACAATATCGGTTCTAACAGTAGCACGTCTTCAGCACCCACAACAGCATGTCTTCGTCTACAACATGTCTTCGGCTGTATCAACAGCACGTCTTCGGCACTCACAACACGTATTCGGCTCTTATGAAAGCTCGCCTTTGGCCATCACAGGAATTAGTCTTCGTCTCTCATAATTACCCATTTTTCTTTTTAATAAATATATCTAATACTACCAGAACGCAAGAGATAAACATGTGCTTCCAGCAAATCCCCTTTTTCAAAGACAACCGGCCATCACAGGAATTAGTCTTCGTCTCTCACAATTACCCATTTTTCTTTTTAATATATCGAGTACTACCAGTACGCAAGAGATAAACGTGTGCTTCCAACAAATCCCTTTCTTCGAAGACAACCTCGTCTTCGGCTTCTAAGTTGGCCGAGCTTCCACAGCAGCACATCTTCGGCTCACATAATAACACATAACATGCAAACTCAAACAAGGATATAAATGCCGAAATTTAACACCTGGAGAAATTTCGTCTTCGGCAGTCACAACAGCACATCATCGGCTCTCAAAGCAGTACGTCTTCGGCACCCACAACAGCATGTTTTCGGCTGTCACACTAGCACATCTTCGGCACTCAAAACAGAACGTCCTCGACTCTTACAAAAGTACGCCTTCGGCCACCAAAAAAGGTAGTCTTCGTCTCTCACAGTTACCCACTTTTCTTTTTATTTATATATTTAGAACTACCCAAAGGCAAAAGATAAACGTGTGCTTGCCAAAGTGTTCGGCAAGTCCCCCTCTTCGAAGCCAACCTCGTCTTCAGCTTCGAAATTGGCCGAGCTTCCACAACAAATCTTCGGCCCGCATAGCAACACATATAACATGCATACTCAAACATAAATATAAATGCCGGAATTTAACACGTACAGAAATTCCAAACAACACAAGGTAGGAGAAAAACGTGTGCTTGACGAAGTTCTACGTATTCGGCACTTACAACAGCATGTTTTCGGCCATCAGTGCATCTTCGGCACTCAAAACAGCACGTCTTCGTCTATTATAAAAGTACGCCTTCGGCCACCACAATAGTTAGTCTTCGCCTCTCACAATTACCCTTTTTTCTTTTTATTATATATATTTAGAACTATCCAAAGGCAAGAGATAAACGTGTGCCTGCCGAAATATTCAACAAGTCCCCCTCTTCGAAGTCAATCTCGTCTTCGGCTTCAAATTTGGCCGAGCTTCCACAACAGCACATCTTCATCCCGCAAAGCATCACATATAACATGCATACTCAAACAAAGATATAAATGCCGGAATTTAGCACATACGGAAATTTCAAACAACACAAGGCAAGTCAAAAACGTGTACTCGCCGAAGTTCTTGGCTAGTCCTCCACTTAAGAACTACCCGCAAATTTGAAAACGTCCGAGTAACATTACTAACATATATGCAATCTAAGTAACATATTATAGTATATCAATGTTTTAAAATCTGAAATAAGGCACAGAATGACATGATTTTTATTATATCACACTTATCATTCAGTAAACATTTTAAATTTTCAAATAAAGCGCATAATTAGATATTCAATTTCCTCTGTTTTTTCATAACACCAAAACCATTTCAATAACAATTAAGTATAGCTTCCTATATATAACATTCAAAATACATAGTACATTTATTCTATGAAA